ACACACACACACACACACACACACTTTATGAATTAATTTAGAAAAAAATTATTTCTCTGTAGAAATTGAATCATAGCATAATAAATTTAAATATAAAACATCAACAAATTTTAATGTTATATTAATATAAAATATTATTATTATAAAATAATATAAAATATGTTATGTATTATTTATTTATTATTACTTATCAATTGTGAAATATCAGAGGCAGCTAAGGGTACATCTGTGCTGCATTCAAAATTCCACCAGATGGAGGGATTTCAATGATGGGATGTTATGCAAATATTGGATTCAGATGTGCTTCAAATGAGGAATAATTTTAGGTTTTGAAAACAGACTAAGACCATTTCTTTGAATGCCTTAGAACTTGGTAAACAACCTAAAATGATTATAGATTATAATGATTATGGTTATTCTAGCAGGGTGAGAACCAGAAGGGCGTAAGTGACATTTCACTAACTTTACAGGAAAGCCAAAACAAAAACTGACCATAGTTTGATCGGATTTTGTGTACTGATTTCAATCTTTTATAATAAAAATGTGTACACAACATGGATGACAGGATACTTATTGAACACTATTTTAACATTTATTCAGAAAAAAAAAAAATCTTTTTGGCACCAATGTTTTATTCAATTTGTGTATAAAAACACGGGCGCATCTGCTGACAATATGAACAAAACATTACATTAATGACTTTAAAAGAAATAACAATCCATTGTGATAAAATAAAATATCACATAAAAAGCCCTTACATCAAATTAGTTAATTGAATGTGGTTAATTTTACTGAAATAGAGTATTCTACAAATACATTTACATGTTATTCACATATCACTAAACTGGTAGACTTAAAGTCTGCTAAATTGGAACAACAAATTTTGTACTTCATGCACTTTAATTGTAAGAATGTGCTGAAGTCTAACTAAAGATATACTGAAATATATTTGATTGTGCTAAAAGTGGAACTATTGCAAGTATAATTTAGGTACACTTTAAATATCTTGCATTTAAAGACTGATATTATTCAAAGATCATATAATCCTCATCAATAGAAATGTGCATTGTGCACAAGTAGTACTCCAAATAAAGTTTAATTATAATTTTTATATCAGTAAGTATCGAGTGATATGTCAGTAAATAGACAATAAATAAAGGAAATAAAATGTTAATAGATTTTAACTAGTATGAATGTGTGTCATAAAGAACGTTTCAGAATTGTGAATTGTACATGAAATAGTAGCCTACTCTGACTGGCTGACTTGTAAAGCTTGGTAGAAGTCCACATAAGACTGTGGGATACCGCCATTTGTGCACAAAGTAAGTCTTTCTTTTTCACATCAGTGATCCAAGGTGGACTTCTGTATAACGTTTCACTCACTGCATTTCTTGCATCCTTTCCTCAGTCATCTCCTTTCTCTATGTCTGTCTGTCCCTTCTCTGCATTCTCTCTCTTGTGGCTAAGAAGTAACTGAGTGCCTATATGATAACACCCATAGTAACAAAAAAGTAATATATTTAAAATACATTTATTTCCATACTAAGTATAATTCAAATCTATTAATATATTTACTGACATACTGCTCAAGACTTAAGTCAAGTCAAGTCACCTTTATTTATATAGCGCTTTTAACAATACAGATTGTCAAAGCAACTGAACAGCATTAATTAGGAAAATAGTGTGTCAATAATGCAAAATGACAATAGTAAACACTCAGTCGGGGGGCCAGTTCTCCTCTGACCAGACGAAACCAGCAGTTTTACTGATATAAAAATTATAATTAACTTTATTTGGACTACTACTTATGCACATTTCTCAATATTAAGTCTAAAATGTGTTTTAATGTCACTGTTGATGAGGGTTGTATGATATTTGAATAATATTGGTCTTTAAATGCAAGATATTTAAAGGGGTCATATGATGCCATTTACATTTTTCCTTTCTCTTTGAAGTGATACAAGCTCTTGGTGCATAAAGAAGATCTGTAAAGTTGCAAAGACTAAAGTCTCAAATCTAAAGAGATATTCTTTATAAAAGTTAAGAGTCAACGCCTTCCTAAATCGGCTCGTTCTAACACGCCCCCACATATCTACGTCACGATGTGGGAAGATTTGCATAACGCCGCCCAAATGTTCACGCAAAGAAAGAAGGCGTAATTTTTATTCTCGCTGTAGTATTGTTGCTGCCACCATGTCCTGCAGACGCTGTGCTTTGTTGTGAAAGCGAAACTACTTTGTTTGGCCTTCCAAAAGAGGACGATATCTGCTTCGTCATGCTTAGAGCTGATCCGTGCTGGTCGCTGAGGAAATACATCAACTTCGCACTGTGGATCGCCGGATCGGCTTTCACCGTGGACAAAGCGGAGTCCAGCCTGGGGTCGTCACATGTGGTTGCCGCAAGCCCTCCGGACGCTCCTTCGTCGAATCCACCGGCCGCACCGTTCTCAAGCCCACCGGCCGTCGCTCACTCAGCACGCCGTGTGAAAATACTTTGTTTGGCCTTCCAAAAGAGGACACGACTAGAAATCAGTGGTTAAGTTGTATTTACAACACTGTTCCAGAACAGTTTAACCCAAATATTCAGATGTGTGCAGCGCATTTTATGGAGGACTGTTTCCTGATCCTGGTAGAGTAGACTACAACGCCGGTTGTTCTGACTCACAGACTGTAAGTACGTTTTCATTTTAAGGATTTGTCACTGATGATTCAAACAAGAGTTTGAGCAGTGTAGAGTAGTGCTTGTTTTTTGTCATTTCTCTGATCACAAGTGCAGACATGGTTTTATGTTTACGCGGCACGATGCAATGCGAAAAAAAGACAGTATAAGTCATTATAATCCATAATTATGTCACCACTGGATGCAACAAATGCCTCATTTATAATGGGTTTTAATGTTTTTGTATCGTCGCTCCGGCTGGGACACGGCATCACAGTATGGTAAGGGTCGTAACATTTCCGTCACACGCTTGAGGTATTCGGCCAATCACAACGCACTGGATAGCTGGCCAATCAGAGCACACCTCGCTTTTCAGACCGATGAGCTTTGTAAAAATCGACGCGTTTAAACAATAATGTACAGTATGTGGAAAATAATGTGTTTTTTGAACCTTAAACCGCATAAACACATTTCATTACACCAAATAATGTTATTTTTAGCAGCATCATATGACCCCTTTAACGTGTACTTGAAGTATACTTGAAATAGTTTCACTTTAGCACAATCAAATATACTTTGTATATCTTTAGTTGGACTTCAGCACTACTTTCTTACAATTAAAGCGCATTAAGCACAAAATTTAAAATTGTTCCAATTTAGCAGACTTTAAGTCTACCAGTTTAGTATAGGCTACTAAAAGTACAATTGCAAAGCATTTTATTAAGCACATAAATATGTAAATGTATTTGCAGTATACTTAGCATGAAATAAATGTATTTCAAATACATTTTAGTTTATTTATCTTTCACTTGGGACATACCATCAGAATGTAAGTTATTGGTTACTACCCACTAGCTAGCTACACCTTGCTGGCAATGAATTCTGGATACTTCATTTTCTCCCTCATCATCCAGCTCTTTGTCTCAAAATAAGATTGTGAAGTATTTTTGCGAAGTTTCTGTATTAATAATACATCTCCAGCAGTAAAAAACTTGTGTACTTTTGGTAGTAGAAAGAGCTCATCAAGAGTTTTCATTTGATATATGTGACCCTGGACCACAAAACCAGTCATAAGTCGCTGGGGTATATTTGTAGCAATAGCCAAAAATACACTGTATGGGTCAAAATGATCGATTTTTCTTTTATGCCAAAAATCATTAGGATATTAAGTAAAGATCATGCTCCATGAAGATATTTTGTAAATTTCCTATTGTAAATATATCAAAACTTCATTTTTGATTAGTAATATGCATTGCTAAGGACTTCATTTGGACAACTTTAAAGCCGCTTTTCTCAATATTAAAATTTTTTTGCACCCTCAGATTCCAGATTTTCAAATAGTTGTATCTCGGACAAATATTGTCCTATCCTAACAAACCATACGTCAATGGAAAGCCTATTTGTAGATTTTGTAGTATTTGTAGCTTTAGCTTTCAGATGATGTATAAATCTCAATTTTGAAAAATTGACACTTATGTTTTGTGGTCCAGGGTCACATATACATTTCCATTTCACCCAAAATGTCACTTACGCCCTTCTGGTTCTCACCCCTCAATATATTTACATTTACATTTAGTCATTTAGCAGATATATATTGTTCTTCACTGATGTGTTTCTTGAATTTAATTATCCTTGCTGGAGAAGAAGAAGATCAACATACAGTGATTTCAGTCTGGTCCTCACATAACGTATAATATAACAAAAGTCTGGACTAAATATGGACTACATTTATGGTGCTTTTATAATGTAATTTAAGTTTTAAATACTTTTTGTTCCATGGAAGAAATAACAGCAAAGGGGTTTAGAACAACATGAGGGCTTAGTAAATTAAATTTTTCTGTCATTCAGACAGAATTTCATTTTTGGGTGAACAATAAAAAAAAAAATCACTTATAAAGTGCTTTTAGTTGCCTAGAGTTTGCGTTTTGTGAAAAGTATATCATGTATATTTCTTATATATTTCTGATATGTGAATGGGAGGAGGTAGCTGCAGTAGGCATGATGGGCAACAGGGGGCGGTAATGAGTGATCAAAACCGTGCTGTAAACTGAGAAACAGAGACCCTTGTATCGCCAAATTCTAGTTTGAAAGGCAATTTCCAGAGCAGACACATAAAGACAAAGCAGCATGGCAAAGCAGAGAAAATGATGGGAAATGGAGTCACACCTGACACAGACACGGAGAGCTCTTTACCGACGGTGGGAGTGGTGGCAGCACTCAGAGAGTTGGTGGAGGAGATTGAAGAGGTGCTTTCTGCACGGGCCAACGGAGCCAGAGGAGGGGGGCTTGACGAGTGTACAGGGGGGCTGAACGGCCGATTCTGACAGGAAAAGCAGGGAAAAGGAAGAACAGACAGAAGGGAAGTTAAGTAACAAAAAAGTAGGGGTTTGTCATTCTGGTCAGGTGATCAGGAGGAAATTTACACAAAGCATGTTGTGGTAGTGTTTCTTGGATTTGGTTTCAAGGTTTTTATTCAAAGAATATTAGATACGTAGTAAATATCAACCTAGGCTTTGTCTGGTATTTTGAGGGGTGAGTTCTGACATCTTATAAAAGTAAAAAAAATTACATAGGCCATGGAAAGGTCAGAGACATTGAGAATTTGTTGGGAACTAACAGGGACAGTAATAGTTACTATTTGAAAGTACTGTACATTTTTCATGTCATCACGTACCACGTCCCCTATGCTTGGTTTCCCAGGTGGCAGTTTGGGTCGTGAGGGTGGCCTAGGTGGGGGAGGGGGAGGGGGGGAGCTGCTGGTAGCCAATGGCGAAGAGGGACGTGCAGGGGAGGAGGAGCCTGTGGAGCGAGAGTATTTCGTTAAACAAAGCTATTCAAAGAGTAACATGCATCAAGCCCAATCAAGAGCTCTTCCCAATTCAGAAAAAAATAATTGTACATTCAAGAACATATGATACTTGACTGGAATAGCCTATACAAACCAATCCGTTCAGATTAAATACAACTTTAAGAGAAACCATTACACTTTACACAGAAACCTGCAGAGATTGCGCAAACAATGAAAACAAAAACATGATGTGTATCTTTGAAAATTAGGATGCATGATAATGGTACATAAAAGTAGATGCATGACGCCCCTGATTAGAGCACTGCCAAAATTTGAAACCCAAAAATGTGGTAGTACCATTACAAATAGTAAGACTATATGTGTCTATATACAGAAAATAATGAGGCAAAAAGTTGTCAGATACCCTTCATCCCTCTTACTAATAAGGCACTTCTGTAAAAACCCACATAACATGATGGTGACTGGAGCAGAATGACTCAACCAAATGTATATGTATTTTCAACATGCAGAACCTTTTGATACTGCTTATTACCTTAGGGTATATTCTATTAATCAAAACCTGTTATTTCCCTAATGTGGATTGTGGTTTCATTGTTTGAGGGCTAGTTCACCTAAAATTTAAGGCTGCAACTAATGATTATTTTGGTAATGAAATGATAAAGTGACAACTGGCAGATGTTTTCCACACACAACATGCAGATGCATTTAATCGCTAATTTGTTGTTGATTATTTTCACTGAGCTTCATTTAGTTGTTGTAGCCCTACTAAAATTACTCTGTGATCATTGCTCATAATCCAAACCTGAGCAACTTTATTTTTTTCAGGGGCACATACAAGGTAAAGTTTAGCAGAACATCTAAGCTGCTCTCATTCATACAATGAATCTGGATAAGGACCAGCAGCTGCCTGACAAGCTCCAAAAAGGACCAAAAAGCATCATAAAAAGTTCATACAACACATGCTCTATATTTCAAATATTCTGAACCCATATGATACTGTAGCCTTGTGTGAGGAACAGACAAAAAATTTCATTGAAAATCACTTTCAATAAATGGAAAGAGAATCTTTCTGTTAATTACTCTTTCTGTGTTCTACAGAAAACCTCATTCAGGTTTCAAAAGACAAGTGAAATGATGATGACAGAATGTTTATTTTTGGGTGAACAAAAGCTTTAATGTTCTGTGATCGCTGGTCCAATTGACAGTTTTTTTTAGATATAACTCACCACTTTCATTTCCACTCGTACCAGCTGGAGGGATGGGCCCTGGGGATGTCACTACCGCCCTGTATGTTGGAGGTGGAGGAGGAGGAGGTGTCGAACATGGTCCTTGACCAGTCTCTTTGGGTGAAGCGCTGTTCTCACTTGGGTCCTCTTTTGATGAGGTCTCCTCAGGGCTCTTCTTGTCCTCTTGGTTCAGAACCAAGGGTGGAGGGACTGTGCGTTCACTTGTCTCTACAGTGGTTGGCGGGCTATTGATTGAGTCTGATTGGGTCTCTATCAGAGGAGCACATGGCCCAAAGTCTGTGTTGGAGTGAGAAAGATCATCTGGTTTCGGTGGTGGTGGGGCCTCTTCAACCGGAGGAGGCAGGACAGTTGGAGGAGAAGGAGTGGTGTCTTTGGGAACAGGTGGGAGGTTATCCTTTGGTGACTCAATGGAAGGAGGAGAATGTGCTGGCTCTGCAGGAGGAGCTGGAGATTTTGGTAAAGGAGGATTCGGCTCCTCTGATGGAGGGGGTGATTTAGGTAATGGGGGTGCTGGTTCTGCTGGGGGAGGTGGAGATGAGGGGAGTGGAGGTGCTGGCTCTCCCACTGAAAGAGGAGGAGGTCTTTGAGGTGACTCATCATTGAAGCAAACCCACTTATCTTCAACATCTTGACCAGGTTTTGGAGAATCTTCTGGGCCAAAGAGGTTGTCTAGATCAGCTATAGAGGGCCTCTGCGAGGTCTGCCTTGAATTTTCCTCTTCTTTCTGCCCATCTGCATCAGGGACCATACAAATATCATAGAAAAAATAGAAAAATGATAAACAGCCCAAAAGCAAATGGGAAGACAAAGGAAAAGGAAAGCGATACCTTCCCTACAAAAGAGATTTTTACAAAACAGAGTACCAAAAGTCAAGCACAAACAAAACCAGACACATACTCATTGGGGTCAGATATTGGTATAGACCAGGGGTGTCCAAACCTGCTCTTGGAGGGCCAACTTTTCTGCAGATCTCCAATGTGCCCCAACAGACCTGCCTTGAAGTTTCTAGTATTCCTCAAGACCTTGATTAGCTGGTTGAGGTGTGGTTAATTGGGATTGGAACTACAGTCTGCAGAACAGTGGTCCTCCAGGATCAGAATTAGACACCCCTGGTACAGACTGAGGCCTGGGTGGAGGATCTTACCGGTAGGTTCTGTAGCAGGAGATTCTATCGGAGGGGGGGAGGTCGGCACATTCTTAGGCGGAAGCGGAGGCAGAGCTGCAATGACATTAGTGCGGCTGAGACAAGCTCTCACATACACCCCCGACCCACCGTAGGCCACGCCACCATGCCCCACAGCACCATGCAAAGGCAAGATCTCATTCAGGTAGTCAGGGACAACAGAGAAGGACTGTGGCATGGAATGAATAGCTCAGACTCTATGATAACACTTCACTCTTTGTGACCTAGTAATTTACACTATTTGTATTATTTAGGATGTTACATAATTTTTAAGTTAATATATGTAGAAAGATCACTTATTTGTTTAGTATGCTTTTACTAGGGCTTGCACAGACTAGTCAATTAGTCTATAATTTCTACAATTAGTCCTCTAGTCCAGGGGTTTTCAAACTGAGGCCTGTGGACCATCAGGGGACAACAAGGGTGCTTAGAGGTCTAGAAAATTTGACTTGAAAAAAAAAAATTATTTTACTAGAGCTTTCAAATGAAACATGTTTCTAAAATATTAAATATGCTTAACATCATATTATTTACGAACACATACACCAAAGATTATATCATTAATATTTTGTTCTGCTTTCAAATAACTGGTCAGAAATCATTTATTTTATTCTACTTACATTCCTAGTGTTTAACCATGAGAAATCTTGTTTTATATCATTATTATTTTAATGGTTTATACAACTTACATCAACATAATAGTGACTAGAGAAATATAGAGTATATAATACAAAGATAATATTTATTAATTTGGCTTTAGTACAATGACAATAAGCAAATGATTATTTTTTGGAAATAACATGTCTTTATAATATCACACTTAATATGTTTCTCACACAATATAATGGGTAAATAAAGCAGTTTTTAGTCTAGTCTTTTATGCGGCAACAACAGGAAGATAATTCCTCTGCCCACAAGCTGCCTCCCAGTTCAGCTGCATGTTATTAGCCTTAAGTAGTAACTTATAACAGGCAAATATTTGAGTGCTTTGCAATTTTAAGCTTTCGCACCTGCATCATGTTAGCTGTGTTGAACAAACTTTGCAGCTGGCTGTCAGACCAGTCTTTGACTCATTTACTGTACATAAGATAAACACTGACTCACTTCGCAGTTGACTACTTTCCTAGACGACTAGTCATATAATAAAAAAAAAAATTAGTAGTCATGCAAGCCCTAGTACTGACACATTTATGTAAAAATACATTTAGAAATATATCACTATTAGCAAGCCAAACATTTGCTTCATTTAGCCTTATGCTTAAAATCAACCTGCACAGTGTAATTTAGCTTTTTTGCGGATTGGGCTGACAAAAAATAGGCCACATTGAGTAAACCGTCACCAAATTATATGAGTACAAGATGAGCTGGATGACTCTTAGGATTTTGATTGCTTTCCTGGCTAATGACTTAGAAATTAGTAGGTTAATGGAGACTGCCAAAAGGGAAAGTTATTTAAACAAAAATTCAGGGGCAATCAGACAACTGTTCACCGTTTTGGAACATATGGGTTTATGATAGCAGGATGATGGCATTCATGCCACACAAGCAATGACTTACTTCCTGTAGGAAAAGGTCTTGCCAGAGAGGAGTCTAGGTGTTGCTCAGGCAGGGGTGCACCCCAAACCTCAGGTTCCTCTATCACCACTAATTTATAGAAGAGGACATGATACACAGTCGATGGTGGAGCAGAATTAACAACTGTGTGACTCACAGAGAGGAAGGAATCACCATGCAACACTTATCTATCCCTATTTCTGTAATAAATGGCCTATGAATCTAATTTAATTCATTTCAACTGCTGCAAATGGAATTGAGAGGGAGTCAACACCACTAGTAAGCACTAATGAATGTTCTGTTCTGTAGTTTATGTTACAGAAAGCTAAAAAACATAATCTTTAAACCCTCTGTGAGTCCCATGAAGATACATACTGTATATGACACAGAAAAATTAATTTTTGTTCTAGTGAATGAAGTGAACATAAAGAATCTGGGCTGTGATCAAGTTCTGTCGGATTGTGAATTTTACATTTCAGTGATCCTGTAAATGAAATATCAACATCCACAAGCAGCACTAAGGGATAAGGATATGGTCATAAACAGTACCTTCACTGGTCTTCTGCTCATCAAAGGCTGTCTCCAGCGGAGGGCCGAATAAGGCTGTTGCATCCTCTGGCACTGGAGATTTCTTATTACTGAAAAGGAGGACAATTAAGCCAGATTTGCATGACTCATCCACACAGATGCACACCAGTCACATCCAGGCTGCAACTCTCAAATTGTCTATTATAATCAATTTAAACTCAATCAACAAATGTTTAAAAGACTTACATACAACGCTAAATCGCAACAACCAGGGTTATATACCGTATAACCACACTTGGTAACATGACAATTTTAGTATAGGGACCAATTCTCTCTATTAACTACGGTAGTTGCTTATTAGCATGCCTATTATTAACATATTGGCTGTTTATTAGTGCTTATGAACCACATATTCTGCATGACCATATTCTACATCCCTAATCCTACCCAATACCTAAACTTAACAACTACATTACTAACTATTAATAAGCAGCAAATTCGGAGTTTATTGAGGCAAAAGTCATAGTTAATGGTTTATTAATAGCGGGAATTGGACCTTAAAATAAACTGACTCCACAATTTTTTAAATGTAAATGTAAAATGTTTTGTATTCTGGTTCCCCTTCAGGAACTCGAGCTGCGTCTAAACGCTATGGGATCACCTTCAGTGTGACCACACTCTGAATGGGTGGGCGAGACGTCACGGGCGGGGTGACGTAACGACCAGGAAGCTTAAAAGCATGTGCGGTGGAACCGGCGTCAGCTTTCTGTTATTCATTAATTATTTCTGTTACTTATAAGCTCTATTATGTCAAAGCTTCAGTCAAAAGAAGCATTTGGGCGAGAGCAGGCAGCGTTCGGTCTGTGTGTTCCTCCCTGCCCGTGCTTTATTCGGGTGGGGACACACACAGTTTTTGTGTTGTCTGCTTGGGAGCGAAGCACGCAGAGTCAGCTCTCGAGGGAGCTTTTTGTTTTTTCGTTTTGTTTCTGCCTTGCTTCGCTCTCAAAAGGCTATCTTTGAGGAGGGAGCCTTCACTAGCGTTTCTGCTGCGGTGCATTTTCAATAGGAGACTTCAGCTATGAGAGTCGTGATGCTATGGCTCAGGACCTCGGAGGGCAGGCCCCTCTGGGAAAGAGCGGTGTACACCAGCTAGCCAGCTAGCCGCTCTGATTACACCAGAGGTCAGTCTCGAGAGTCTGATTCCCTTAGTAGACTATTTGGCACCGTGGAAACTACTGCCAAATGTGTCTCAGTGGGTCCTGCACACTGTAGAGAGAGGCTACAGAATCCAGTTGGTTCTCCTCCGCCTCAGTTCAACGGGGTTATCCCCACCTTGGTGGATCCCGAGCAGGCTCTGATAATGGAACAAGAAGTAGATACTCTCTTGAGGAAGGAGGCTATTGAGGTGGTCCCTCCTTGCGGTAGAGAGTCCAGGTTCTACAGCCGGTACTTCATTGTTCCAAAGAGGGATGGAGGGTTGCGTCCCATTTTAGATCTGCGTCAGTTGAACCGCCCAGTCATGCAACTGAAGTTCGGGATGCTCACACTCAAACAAATCGTGTCTCAGATCAGGTCCGAGGACTGGTTTGTCACGATCGATCTAAAAGACGCATACTTCCATATCTCCATCTTTCCTCATCACAGGAAGTTCCTGAGGTTTGCTTTGGGGGCAAAGCTTACCAATATCGGGTTCTTCCTTTCGGCCTTGCACTCTCACCCCTCACTTTCACCAAGTGTGTGGATGCTGCTCTGGCTCCTCTGTGATTCCAGGGCATCCGCATACTCAACTACATAGACGATTGGTTGATATTAGCTCATTCAGAGCAGATAGCGGTTCGTCATCGAGATGTAGTTCTCGCTCACATGAAAGAGTAGGGGTTAAGACTAAACGCCAAGAAAAGTGTGCTTTCTCCCTTACAGAGGACCACTTATCTGGGTGTGGTGTGGGATTCGACCACGATGCAGGCATGTTTGTCCCCTGCTCGGATCGAGTCGATCCTCACGGCAGTCAAGAGAGTGAGAGAAGGCCTGTCACTCACTGTCAAGCAGTTTCAGAGACTGCTGGGTCTGATGGCAGCTGCGTCCAATGTGATATCTCTTGGCCTGCTGTACATGAGACCCCTACAGTGGTGGCTCAAGACCAA